TGGAATTTAACCACCATTTGTACCGTGCTCTTTGTGGGAAAATGTATTCTGCATTCCAAACGATTGGCCTTCTGGACTTGGTCCAGTTTCTAAGTTGGGGATGGCTTGTACCCATTACGTTACATTTTGGGCTTCATTTGTGTATCTTCTAACCAAGGTCTTGTGAGAGCTACTTTGGAGACCATTTGTTAATGGACATATTTTGTAAGTGATGGATTTGCCTGAGGTTACTCAGCTGCTTTTACTTCCAAGCCAATAACTCCCTCACTATCCAAATCATTTTGTCCTCATTTTCCCACACAGTCATGAAGCTACTCAAAATTTTTGTTGGGAAGTTGTGTTTTCTTTGGTTTAGGTTCAGACATGTTGGTTCATACATGCCTCATTGGTTTCTTATTCATTTTACTCTAGAGCTTTATTCACTTTGAGATTCTCTAAGTAACCAGTACCACAGGACATCTGAGTTCAGAATTTATTTACAGGAGATGAGCACTGTGCTATAGCAAGTTCAGTTGCCACCTTTAGCGCCAACATCCCATGCGGGTGCCAATTTGAGTCCTGGATGGTCCACTTCTGACCTAGCTCCCTGCTAACGTGCCTATGAAAGCAGCAGAGGATGACTCAAGACCTTGGGTCCTTGTACCCATGTGGGAGATCAGAAAGAAGTTTCTGGCTCTTGTCTTCAACCTGTTGCAGCCCCAGCTGCTGTGAATATTTGGGGAGTGAACCAACAGATGGAAGACCTCTTTCTTTTTTTTTTAAGATTTATTTATTTATTGGAAAGTCACATATACAGCGAGGAGGAGAGACAGAGAGGAAGATCTTCCATCCGATGATTCACTCCCGAAGTGAGCTCAATGGCTGATGCTATGCTGATCTGAAGCCAGGAGCCAGGAACTTCTTCCAGGTATCCCACACGGGTACAGGGTCCCAAAGCTTTGGGCTGTCCTTGACTGCTTTCCCAGGCCACAAGCAGGGAGCTGGATGGGAAGTGGAGCTGCCAGGATTAGAACTGGCTCCCATATGGGATCCCGGCACGTTCAAGGTGAGGAATTTAGCCGCTAGGCCACGCTGCCGGGCCCGGAAGACCTCTTTCTAGTCACCTTTCTCACTGTAACTCTGCTTTTTCACATAAATAAAAATAGTCTTTCAAAAAGTGTATTTACAGCAGACTGGACTTGGTTTAAATCAAGATTGAAATAACTCATAAACACTGTATTTCATAATATTGTATTTCACCTGTGTTTTCCAGGTAAAATTACTTCCTGGTGTTGGACGTGACTCTGGGGAACTACTGTCACAGTTCAGCACACTTGGCTTGAGTTTTAGGGGATTCAGGCTTTCTGCTGTAATGTGTTCTTACACAGTTGGGTATCTAACTCAAGAAATGCAATGCTTTCTGTTTTATGACACAGAGGAATGAAACCATTCAGAAGTAAACCTTCTCCAACCAAAAGGGTGAGTCACGCATCATTTATATACACCATGTGCGAAAACAACTATCATGAGAAACAAAACATTCACATCTTCCACATTTTGTATACTTTTCTTCATTAATAATAGTTATTTCCTGGATTCTGGTTTGGATAAGCAGAACAGGAGAACAGCTGAAGGATAAATATTGTCACAAATATGTATGACTTAGCTCTATCGTAACAAACTGGGACTGACCTAAATCGACATCTGGCCCTGTCATGTAATTACAAGGGGGTGAGAAGGACACAGATGAACTCTTTAATAATTTGTCAGTCATCATTTGTGAGAGCTCTTTATCCAACTGTACTTTTTAAGATTTTAGTTGTTATTTATCTGGAAAGAAAGAGGGAGAGACAAATCTTCCAAGAGCTGGTTCACCCCACAAATACTACAACAACCAGTACTGGTCCGTGCCTAAGCCAGGAGCCTACAATTACTCATTTCACACCGTATTAGTTATTGACCAGTCGAAAGTCACTGAAGAAAAACCTCTCTTAGTAAAGTCTTGCTATGTTTCTTCTCTGGATTCATGAGGTCTCACTGTACCTTGTTTGACAGCAATCTACAGCAACATCTCACTGGTCTCACGCGGTGTGATGGCAGGACATGCTGTATGTAATGTGCAGCATCTGTGGTCTCCAGCAGTACCTGTTAAGTAAACACAAGATCACAACTTTAATCAGACCCCCACATCCTGATACCTCAAGCCCCTTGCAGTCAGGAAGTCCAACATGAAGAGCAGGGTGCCCTCTCACAGGCCTTTCAGGCTCCTGCAAAGGAAGTAGATGACATGAACTCAAGTGTCTCACAAAGCCCGGGGATATGCCGGGAGTTGTTTCATAACCACTATTCAGAAATCAGATTGCAAAGTGATGGCTGCTGAGATTTTCACATTTTCTTCACTTTGCAGATTTCCAAGAAAACACATTCCACTCTGGGGAAAACAAGTGAGTGGGCTACTTAAGTGGCAAATGTGTATCACACATCTTGTGAACATTTATCTGATGTTTAGAAGTACAGTGAAGCAGCCCAGAAGCTGCTGAATGTTAAGTAACATATAGAGATGTACATCTGATTGACTTCAAGATATGAAGGATTCCAAAATCTTCCACACTTCTTTTGGAGGAAGACCCCACCAAAGGAAATTCTTTGAAAAAGTTGGTTGCCACCCAAATGATGAAGCTGTCTTATTTTGATAGTGGCCATTGGTTCTTTCCCAGTATCCCAAGGCCTTAGCTGGGGAGGTGACCACAGCCGGCAGCACACACAGCCACTCTCCAGCCTCTGTCAACCAGCAGACTGCGCCTGAGACTGGCCTCTCTCTGCCCTACTCACAGCCAATTCCTCCTGGAAGTTCACTTCTTTCTCGGTAGACCAGTTCCCTTTAAGTGTCTCTTGTCCTTTAGACATGTCAACATACACTGGAACCCTAATCACGGACAGGGTTCAAGGTGCTTTTCCATGGAATTCATGGGCCCCATAAAAACAGGAGGATCAGGAGACACCTATTTGAGAGCTGGCAAGCACTCTGTGTCCGTCTTAAAGAGAGCTGGGAAAGTGGCACAGGACTCGACAGGCTGCTTGCTGCATTTGAGCACCAGTCCCAGCTCAGCCAAACATGACTCCACTTGTAATCGATCTTTCCCTTCATTTCTAGAAAGCTCACTGTCCTATTTGTGGCCTGTTTCTAAAAACACCAACAGGATAGTACATGTATTTTGTGTACACAACTGCTAATGTTTTCTTTTTTTTTTGTCCCATTTTTCTCTATAATTGTATTTATTTACTTAAAAGCCAGAGAAAGAACAAAGTGAGAGCTTCCATTCACTGATTTTTCTCCCCAAACTTAGCAACAACAGTCCTGGCCAGAGCCTGGAGTCAGGAACTCACATCTGGGTCTCCCTGTGGGTAGGAAGCACTCAACTGCTGAAACCATCACCTGACTGCATCCCCAGGTCTGCACCAGCAAGAGGCCAGAATCAGAAGCCAGAGAGAGAACTGCAAGGCAGGCACTGCAACCCAGGACACATGTCTTCATTGGAGACTTAACCACTAGGCCAGACACATGCCCCATATTTACTTTTAATTTACCTAAGATACATTCAGTCATGTCTTCTGCAATCAAGCAGGGTAGTACAAATGAATACACTTCAACAAAGCAGCGAAGAACCCTTTCTTCAACTTTGATGCTCTGAGATGAGCTAATAGCAATCTGTGCAAATTGCACTCTGTGAAAAGCACTCTGGACAGGACCACGAGTACAGGTTGGGACCTGTTCTATGCTCACCATCAATCCACAGCGAGATCCGGAAGCAGAGTGAAGTGGAGAAAAGACCTGGACATTACACAGTGTTGCTGGATTTCTCCCCTTCACAAGCTACTTGCCCCTCTCCAAGCCAGTGACATAACTGCTTAAAGTGCAGATCCTGGCCTTAGATATCAGGGTTTGAAACCCAGCTTTCTTGCTTATCCATATATTCCAGGGCAAGGCATTCAACACCTCCATTAATTCCATCCATAGGGCAGAAATAATAACGCCTGCCTAACAAGGCTGTTGCAGACCACATGAGTAATGGGTGTATGGCATTTCTAGGGGTAATCTCACCTGGCCGGAAGACAGTTGGGTAGCCCTCTCTCCCCCCAGTTCCCTCTCTCCCTGTGTTCTGCATGTCTGACACGTGGTGAGGGTGACAGGCACAAAGCTCAGGGTGTTTCTATCCTCCCAGGGCTGTGTGGGAGCTGGATGCAGTTACAAGATTGGATGATTATGCAACATCATGGAGATGTGAACTGAAAAATGCAGTGGAAAAAGAAAATCCACAGTGCTTGCAGATATTAAACAATGAGAAGGCACCAGTGCCCAGATCATTTCATACCTGCTGGCTCTTCCTCTACTCGCCTGAACACTTCTTTCACCCAGGGACACCTGGGGAACCTGCCCTGTCCTGGAATGGCAGGGTATGGAGCCCTCCTAGAGCAATGTCAAACTTTTTCAGTGTAAGTAACTAACCCTGCACACACACACCTGGATTCCCAACAGGGGTCCTTGCAGCCCGGGTACCGGGAACGTGAGGAATGTCTTGCAAATCCAGAATGAAGGCAAGAAAAGAAACTTGAGGCGGGAAGCGCATCAGCACTACGCCAGCCGAGCGGCGGGAGCCCTCTGCACAGGCCGCGGGGTGGACACAAGCACGCTCTGCCTCCCTCTGCACAGGCCAACGCGAGGGAGGGAGCGACACACCACGCTCCCCATCACAGGAGCATCCTCAGCGCGTAAGAGCGCGGACCGCTCCAGGGCGCCTGCGCCGCCAAGGGGAGTCTGCGCAGCGGCCGCGGGCGGAGAGCACCAGGAACCTGCGCGAAGGCGGCGGCCAGTGCGCCTGCGCCAGAGCCGGTAGGCCGGGGAGGAGGGGAAGAGGCGAGGGGACGCCAGGGAGCGCGCGGTGCGCCTGCGCAGCCCTGCGTGGCGCGGCGGCGGGCCGGGGCCTTGCGGAGCGGGCGACGCTGCGGGTGGGGCGGTCGGCGGCGCTGGTGAGCTGTGCGGAGCTGGGCGGTGCCGAGGAGGAGGAGGAGGAGGTGGCGGCCGGGGTCTGACGCGGCCGGGTTCGTGGGGGGCCTCTCCTGTTTATTTATTTATTTACCGTGGGTCCCTCCGAGTGTGCGCGCGCTCTCGCTCCTCGGCGGGGAGGGGGTGGGGGGAGGGCCCGGGAACTGGGGGAGTTGGAGCCGGGTTTTGGGGGGGGAGGAGGGTCGAAACGCCGCGTGACTTGTAGGGGAGAGAACGCCGAGCCGCCGCCGTCGCCGAGAAGCCCTTGTTCCCGCTGCGGGCTGCGAGAGAGGAGTCTGGAGCCGACAAGATGGCGGACGGGGAGCTGAACGTGGACAGCCTCATCACCCGCCTGCTGGAGGGTGAGTCGGGCCGGGCGGGCGGCGGGCGGCGGGCGGCCTGCGTGGCCGCGGACCCCCGGGAGCGTGGGGGTGCGGGGGACGGCCTGGCCGGGAGGCCGAGATGCCTGCACCGGCATTGTGTGTGCTCTGGAGAGAGCGCGTCTCCTCTGCTCTCTTTGTGTTTTGCCCTTGGCTGCCTCCGACTGCTGTTTCGGGAGTGCATTTTATTAAAATCAAAAATAATAACGAAAAAGAAAGCCCTTTCGGTAGGACCGTTTCGTCAGCTCTGCACTTCCACACGGGGGCCCCCAGAACAAGACTATCCTAAGCCTCTGAGGACAAAATGAGCGGGCTGACGACTGAGGATCTGGCATGCAGAAAGGGAATAAGAACGCAGGATCTCGGGCCGGGGTTGCAGATGCCCGGGAGAAAAAAAAATGGGGGTGGGGAGAATAATCAGATGGCGCTTGCTCACGGGGTTGGCATTTGGGGTGAAGATTTTAGTAGGCGAGGACCCAGTTTAATTTTTGCACAAACTTCGGACAAGTCTGTTGTAACGTCTTTCGTGTGTGTAAGAGCTGTTAGCAAGGCCTCGCGGCCGTGAAAGGCTCCAACCCCCGTCTTTATTTTGAGTGGTTTTTTGCTGGTGGTGGAGACCAGGAGTTGAATGGGTAGATTCGTGTACAGGGTATCAGAGCAGCTCTGACGCTGTCCATTTAATGCTAAATCCGCGTTATTACCAGTTGTCCCGTGTATTGGGCCTTTTGAAATAGTTTGGGGTTCTCGTCGCAGACCGTTCTTGAGTGTTGCATATTCTCTGCTACTGTTGCTTTCAAGTGACTTGGAGATCAGTGTTTACTACCACGGTACAGTGTACTGGCTGTGGATGATTGGGGCGGGGGAGGAACCTGCCTGCCTGCTAACGCAGGCGTTGGCCTCCGAAACAGCAGCTGTGGGTGTACCTGTTGGGGCTCCGCTGCAGATGTGTAACCCACCCCCCTCCCCGCACCCCCAGCAAGTGGTAGCTTAGGCACTGTTGCTACCCAGTCGTTTCTGGAAGGTCCCCTGGTGCCTGCAGTCCGGGTTCAGGCCATGAGGTTTTATGATCTAACAGACCTGTGAGCGCCTTGGCTGGGCCAGAGAAAATTCGCTTTGAAAAAAGAGTATTTTGTAATTTTGAATTTGTTCTGCCAGGAAAATATGGTAGCTATGATATTTTTCTGTTAACTCTTGGGGGAAGTTTAGGCCTAGCCGTTTTTATATATTTTAAGATTGTAAATTTATGCTTTGTAAGAATGTGATGTTTGTGTTGCAACTTTGTACTTTTTCGCCCCACATGTTGATAGGTGTACTACAGAGCATTGTGGGTGTGTCTCATGTTTGGGCTGCAGTCTCCTAAGGCAGATGCAGCTTTCTGATAATTACTTATACCCAAGACACCTACTTGTAGATTAAGTTATGGGAAAGGAAGGCGCTGGGGAACGCAGTCTGGTGGTTTTTCTTTTTCTTTTTTTTTTTGTAAAGTGTAATTAAGTTTTAGTTGAAGTTTTTGCATGTCTTTTTTCTCCTTTTTTGGTAAGCATTCTAGTCCAGTTCTGTTTTCTTTTAATCGGATAGGTGTTTATTGAGGTCTCTGCCAGGCACCAGGAATGCAGTGATAAAAACAGTGGAGGGGCTCTGAGTCGCCTCTGCTCTCACACTGTCAGCGGGGTTTCCTTACTGCTGAGTCCTGGGGAGGTATATCTAGTTCAGCAGTGCCTTCCCTGGATTCTTAAATATTCCTGGTTCATCCCCCTTGCTCGTAAGTTTAGTCTTGTTTAAAAAAAAAAAAAAAGTCTGCCTTAGAGTTTCAATCCTGTTGATTAAATGTAACTCATATTTAAGTGATGTTATTTTATAAAACTGCCTAACAGAATTAGCTATGATTTGTCTTTTTGAGGTTTTTTTTGTTTTGGTGTTAAAGTGCAAGTCAGAATTTGCTAGCAAAAGGATACACAATTATAGTCAGGAGGAATGAATTTCAGATGACGTACTGTACAGCAAAGTAATCATTTGCCAACAGTGACATGCTGTATTCTCAGAAAATGTGGAGTAGATATTATGTGCTGTTATTTGAAAAAGTGGTAACTGTGAAATATTGCATTTATTTGATGTGACCATTTCTTCAACATATGTTACATGCTATGAAGCATGTAGTGCTAATTGTCAGGAAAATATTTGGCCAGAATTTGTCTGCTCTGGGGAGGGGAGATTGAGCAGGACCTGCCTGATCTTGTTTTGAAATGCTGATCGAGGCTCCACGTGTACTCCTGATTGCCAGTCAGCTTTTGGTAGCTATGCTGTATGAGCTGTTTTTGTGTTTGTTTTTTTTTTGTAAGATTTATTTATTTATTGGAAAGTCAGATATACAGAGAGGAGGAGAGACAGAGAGGAAGATCTTCCATCCGATGATTCACACCCCAAGTGAGCGCAATGGCCGATGCTATGAAGATCCGAAACCAGGATCCAGGAACTTCTTTCGCGTCTCCCACGTGAGTACAGGGTCCCAAGGCTTTGGGCCATCCTTGACTGCTTTCCCAGGCCACAAGCAGGGAGCTGGATGGGAAGTGGAGCTGCCGGGATTAGAACCGGCGCCCATATGGGATCCTGGCGCATTCAGGGTGAGGACTTTAACCACTAGGCCACGCCGCCGGACCCTGTTTTTGTGTTTCATTCTCAGTTGGGCATTATCATCAGTGTTTTATTTGTATTTTTGGGAGAGCTTTTAGGACATTTTAATTTGTGCTATATGATTTGGGTTTACACATATTTCTTTAGTATATTTGCTTGTGGTAAGTTTGATGAAAAACTAGGTTTCTGTCACTTCATCCCCTGCTGCCAAACCAGTGCTGTTGGCGATTGTTACTCTAACTGAAGCTAGCTTGCATGAGCGTCCTGAAAAGCCCTTGAGTAAACACTTTTTGCTTGAATCAGTGGTTCTTAATAGTTAGCATGGGAGTGGGAGTGAGGCACAGTCACCGGAGGAACTTTGTTCCAACTATAAATGCTGAGTGTATTTTGGAAGACATGGACTGAGTTGAATCTGGTGTTTCGGGGGAAGGAATATTTAAAGCTGCTGCAATGCTCAGGGTAGTTTCCCATCATGGGCTTGATCCAGATATTGAGTAACTCGGCTGTACCTGTTGACAGTGCATGGCTATTGTGTGTCTCATATTTGCTAATTCATATGAACTGTGTTTGCTTTGTTCTGATTGCAAAAGTAAGATATTCTTACTGTGAAAACTTGTGATAAAAATGGAAAAGAATTCCCTAATAACAGTTAAAGTGGCCTTTTTTGAACGTTTGTCTCAGAGTTGTAGAATATTAGCCTGGTAAACTCCCATAGCAGAGTATGTTTGTGTTTGTTTTGGGATCACTAGTATCTTTATGAAAAGTTTTGGAATGTGTTTTTGTTTTGTAAGTCCATTTAATTTTGACCTGTGGGATGATTGAGTTAGTGACTGACATGATAAACTTAAGGGTTTTCTCTTTTTTTGTGGGCTGTGTACTCCTCAAAATTTAGTTAGATTGACAGACCAAGGAAACAGGAAGGATTCCTCTTATGAGTCCTTTGAAGGTTAAAAATGAAGGAATGGACTTAGAAAAGGGGCTGGATGAATAAGGCCAGTAAAGCCAGCACCTCCCTTGAAATGACAGCTTTATTGCTGTGTGATTCACATAGCATCCAGTTTACCTGTTGAAAGTGTACTTGTGATTCAGTGTTTGTTTAGTGTAACAACAGAATTCCCCCATCAACTTTGTCCCTCTTTCTCCTAATCATACATCAAAACACCCTCGTCACAGTGACAGGCATGCCCTTTTTCTTTTCCCTGCAGCCCTAGGCAGCCAGTACTCCACTTGAAGTCTGTAGGTTTGTCCCTGATGGACTTTACACATAAATTAGGTTATGCAGTATTTTATCTTTAGGGCTGTTCTTTGTTTTGAGGTTTTACCTGTTGTAACATCTGTCTGTACTACGTTTCACTTATGGCTATGTGATATCCCATGATATGTATTTAAAATATTTTTGAGCCATCCATCCATTGATAGACATTTGAATAATTTTTTTAAGGATTTGTTTATTTTACCTCAAAGAGCTATAGAGAAGGAGGGAGATAGCATCCATCTACTGGTTCACTCCTCAAAGTGCTAAAACTGCCAGAACTGGGTTGTTTTGAAACCAGGAGCCAACAACTACTTCCAGGTCTCCCACAGGGGCACAGGGGCCCAAGCACTTGAGCCATTCTCCACTGCCTTGTCGTGCCACCAGCAGGGAGGGAGCTGGTTCAGAAGTGGAGCAGCCAGGGCTTGAACTGGCACCCATATGGGATGCTGGCGTTGCAGGCTGAAGATTAACTTGCTGTGCCGCTGTGCTGAACCCCCATTTTTTCTTTTGAGGTCTTGTGAGTGATTCTGGCCTCAATGTTTGTATGTAAGAATTTGTGAACTTATATTTTTGATTCCAGAGAGAATCAAAAAAGAGTAGCTCTTTTAACCCTTTGAGTACTGATTAAATTGTTTAATTAAAATACAGCCATCTAAAAGTGAGGCAGTTTGAAGAAGTGAGGGTTGTTCCTGGCAGCTCCAGTTTCCACAGAGACTGTGTGGTAACAGATCCAGGGAGCCCACCTTGGAGAGTGGATGGGGCAGGAGGGGCAGACTCTTTGAGGGATCTCCTGAGAGGCTAGGGGAGGCAGAAAGGTGATAGTGCTTTGCTTTTTTTTTTTTTTTTCTTTTTCCTGCTGATGCAAAAACTAGATGGGGGAGATCTCCTTAATGAGGTTCATCAGAGGGAGGGCAACTGCTGTTTGAAGAACTAATCCAGAGATGTGCTTGGGTGTTTGAGTGCACAGCTGGGACTGTGTTGGCATATGTCTAAATCCAAGATAATTCATTGGGATTTATGAATTTAGGTCTAAGTGTAGGGTGTTTTAAGATTAGTGAGGAAGATAATAAATTGCCTGCATGTTTTTTCTCTCATT